ACGCTCTATTCTCCACACTGTGCAAGCGTCCAGTTAAACCGGACATCGATAAGACACTGAAAATCATACTGGGCTTCTGGGAGTCACAATTGTTCCCAGCTCAGGAAGCCGTTAAACACAGCCCAATTATGCAAAAAACCCTATTGCTCCGATATCCCAATTAGATCCATAGAAAAAACGCTGGACAATGGATACACTGCTTTCTGGAGTCTTTGTGTAACCAAATGTTATTTATTCTATTCAGCTGATTCTATTTCTCCACTGTTTTAGTAAAGAAACAAAGCTTAAAACCTCAGAAGCTTTCTCCATGCAGAAACCTCAAAATCAAATGCGTAAAACAGCGCCCCTGTGGCACCCCATCCCACTCCTGCATTTTTATATTTAGAATGCCCTGTATGCAATATACTTTCAAATATTTAATACTTAACAAGTATCCACCCTGGGCACAGGATTAACATGCAGAACTGATTCCTGTTTGCAAGGTTATTTATTGACATAACTCCACTGGAATGCATGGCATTTCACAGGGGGGAGAATACAATCAAAAGGTGGCCCTGCATATACTAATTCAGTAAATTATTGTGAACAAAGCAGAAAGGTGCATCAAATGTTAATAAATTAAAAAATCTTATTTAAATATATTTTCAAAGAAAGACAATTCATAGGCTTCAGGAAAAAGAAAATCAGCAAAAGTGAGCAACAGCTCATCAGTTATGATGTCTATGAATGCTATATTCAATCTTTTAAGATTAAATACACACACTTCTGCCCATCTTCTATAGGAAAGAATTTTTCAGCAAGAGCTTCTGTTGACTCCTGAAGCTTGTAAGGCAGAGTATACCAAAACACAACAGAGAGGAAAGCTAGGTTATTGCCTTCGTTCTGGGGACTCCTATCCCCACCCTTACTGAGGCTTTGCACAGCCTGGTCTAGTGTGAGGTGTTCCTGCTCATAGCAGTGGGGTTGGAACCTGATGATCTTTAAGGTCCCTTCCAACCTTAACCATTCTATGATTCTATCACACAACTCAACTGCATCAGTCTGTACAGTGGCATCAAAGTACAGCTGTTGGTGTGTGACATTTTACAGTGAAAATTTTAAGAGGAAGGGAAAAATACCAAGAAAAAATCCCTCAGCATTATATTCAGAATGAGATGGCAGCCAAAACAAGTAACATGCAGCAAGAATGAACATATTTCAGAAACAACACTACTGACTTTAAACAAAAACTAAGGAAACTCAGAATTTGTTAATAATTACAGGTCATAAAGAGAATCCTTCATCTCACAACAGTAATGAACTCAACAGTAGATTAGGTTGAAAGGGTCAAGAACTGCATTTCTCTCCTGCTCCTATGTCTACTGTTCACACTGTCACAAAAAGTGTGTTTCAGATACTCTTGTTCGACCAGTTAAATCTCTTTAACTGTGCAAATATTTGCTTTGTATTAATGCAGCTGCAACTTTTAAAGACTTCTGTTATCTTTACTGCTTATCTTTCAATGCCAGAGCTCTGACTGTCCCAGATCTTGGTCCAGTGAGGCTCCAAAATTCAGGGACAGAAGAGAAGGAGTATGAAAGAGACGAGAGATTAGATACAACCTAAAGCTAAACAAACAAGGGCAGATCTGCAGCCATGAAAGTCAGAAGTTCAATTCAATGTTAATTCCTATTTGTCTGAAATGTTTATAGATGTACCTTTATAGAAAACAGAGCTGATGAAAAGGCTGTAATTACAGCAGTGAATGTATATACACTGAGAAAAACGTAAGCATGGAAATAAGCAAGTACATGGATCATCTAGTATGTGATGAAGGCTTTTTCCCAATAATTAAAAAATAAAAATAAAAACCCCAAAGTTTACATAGGAGAATACAAGGAGACATACTACCAAGACCCACTTTTACTTCAGTTCAGGTTCCCTCTTCCCTGCTTCTAACCAACATCCCCATCTTCTTCCGCCCGCTGGCACTATTTATGTAGGTTATTCAGACCCGAATTGAGCTTAAAAAAAAAACAAACAAAACCAAACAAACAAAACAAACAAGCAAGAAAAATAAACACAACCCAAAACAAACAGTCCTCCCACCCCCACATATCCTGGTTTGAGCCAGGATGAAGCCAAATTTCATTTTACTGGCTCAAACCAGGACACCCAATAACATAGAAAACCCAATTAAGGCCAAAGTCTTTTTCAGCCAGATCACTTTTTCTTGAACTGACTTAGTGGCAAGATGCAAAAGCTCCAGTGTCAGTGCCCAGAGGGATGTGGAAGAGGATGCAGAAACTGCAGCAGCTCACACAGAGGGAGCCAGGCTGAAGAAGCAGCTGTGGGCTTGCACCCAGGGACAACACAATCCTGAACACAGGGCAGGGCAGCTGCTATTTTTTTTACTACTGTTGAATTTACTTTAGCCCTTCTCTGAAACAGAGAACTGGGAGAGCCAGAGAGCAGTGGTAGTGTGTGGAACAAAATCTGTACCTGCACATCTCTGGACTTTAATGCAAGTAAATGAGGTACCTTAGATCCCTTCAGATACAAAAAGCCCTGGTGTCCCAGATTGCACCTCAGATCTTTACTTATCAAAGAACGTGTTTCAACAGCAATTTGTTTGCAGCTGTTTCTTTTTTTGTTTTTTGTTCTTTTTTCTTTAAGGAAATATCTTTTCTCTTTCAATAAGGAGATAACCAAAAGCTACTTTCTCTAACACAGTATACTTGGAAAATGTCTTCTCACCCCCTGCTCCCCACTTCATTTTTCATGTTTACACTTTTTTTTTTTTTTCCAGTGGCCTTTCTGGTTATGAGAAAAATACATTCCTGGAATGCTTCAGCTCAAGGCTCTCAAAAACAATTACTTAGGCATTTGATTTGATCTCCTGGTTCTTCTTTTCTGGGTATTTGGGTTTTATGAATCTCCAGTTTGGTCAAAGGTTAAAGGGAAGCTTCTCCAAGTCACACTCCAAAGCCCCACAAGGCCCATATATACCCCACCCTACGTTTTAAGGAAAATAAATTAGTTCACTAATAGTTGAGCACAACAGCAGTAACTTGCTGTGTTATCTAAGGAAGGAAATTGAGAGGGAAAGATGTTGTTTCATGTTTATGTTGGGAAAGATGGATGGAGGAAGAGAATTACGAGTGTGGAAGAAAAAAAATTGATCACCTTTGAGTTGGTGAATGTTTGGCACTGTTTAATGGAAAACAAGAAGGGGAATGGTGTTGAAGTACATAGTTTTAGTAGCAAGGTATCTTCAGGAATATCAAAGCATTTCATAAGCACAAGCAAGCAGGGTTAGAACATCAAAGGTACCTCACCTTTCACACTGTGAGAAATTGCCACATCTGTGATACACACACGCACACAAAAAAACCCCAAACACCCATGAAGTGTATGGAGGAACAAAGCATATGTTTTCTGAGTTGTTCTGGCAGCTAACTAGGCTTCTCACAGGAGTGAAAGTTAGGAAGGATAATCTGTCAGTTATCTGACTCAGAGGAGCGAGCAATAGGGAACATTTCCAGCTGGCTGTCTCTGTCAGGCCTTTCTGACCCATGCTCTACTGAAGGTGGTGCTTCATGGGTTTGCTGGTATGCTCCTATTGTTATAATCTGCCTTTGACAGAGCGAAACCCAGTTTAATTACACTGTGTGTGCTTTATGTGCTCTATTTGGCAAGTCTCTAAAATCAAACTCTTCTTAAAAAACTTGTCTCAAAACATGGAGCACGCATTCCTTCTGCTATGATACCTTTTTGTTAAATACAATGCAGTTACTGCTAGATTTGTGCATTTAATGCTGCAGCACATTTCTCCAGTAATATATTTTCCATATCTGCCTCTTCTAACCTCATTCTATTAATTAAAAAAGAAATCTTTAAAATCTGAAATTTGTCACATGCCTATATACAATTATTACCCCAGGTTTGTCAACTCTTCTCTCTACTAAATGAAAAATCAGATTGAAGTAACTGATTGTAGTTCATTACCAAGTGCAACACTTGCCAAAACCTCAGATATTTTAATGTCCTGATTCTAGTTCATTTCCAAAGACAATGTTTCCCAAAAAGTATGTATTTTACAGTTCTGATAATGTATAGCAAAATATACATTTAAAACAAGTTTTAAGGGCATATTTAGAAACCATTCTAAAGGAGTGTTGGTGCTGAAAGTTCATGTACAAACTAAAGCATACACATAAAGGTACACATACAGCTGAAGCGATTTTTTAATCGTCATTAAGTGGCAAAATTAACTTTTTTAAGGAAAACCTGTGAAACTTTGCCATCCTTCTACTTAACTAGTGGTCTTAACTGTAAGTAACCCCAGCACCACACCACAAAGCAACATGGTTGTTTTGGGGGGAGGGTGGTGTTGTTTCTTCTTTTTTTCCCATTTTTTAGTGAGAAGGGTTATTTTCTGGTTTTAGTCATCTCTTTAAATTTTAACACACATACTTCTCATAACTGCACACAGATAGAAGCTGAAGTCCCTTCTATTATGGAGACAGAGAAAAAAGACATGCAGTGGTCCTTTTATGTTGTCCTATTAAATATGCTGCTGAGTAAAATTGAGATACACAAAGAAATGCAGCCATGTCCCTTCAGCCAGCTGCTTGGACAAAGAATTAATTGTAATTTATATGATAAAATAAGCCTCAAAATTTATGACAGCTGTGTTACATCTGTTTCACTAGGTCCCAAATGCCAATTATCTGCATTTAATGAAAATAAATTCTGCTACAGATAAGCTGATTTACAAGAAGAGAATGCCTTAAAGACAAATCTTCCTTCACTGTCCACATTAGTTGTTCAAATTTTTAAGCCAAGATTTTTAACATTACAAAATTGATTACCAGTTTCTCCATTTCACATAGATAAAATTATATTTCAACTAAATATTTTATATGCAGAAGAAAAAAAACAGCTTAGGAATTTAAATATTTCGCCTCCAGAAAGCAGCTTGTCCTCTAGCCAAACAGACTTGCATGAGTTGGCCTTACCTGGAGCCATAACTTGTTATTCACTGCATCTCTCCCCGTAGCAATGCATTGAAATGTAGCATTCTGCCCTGCATTGACCTCTACATCCCCCAGCCTCAAGAAATGTGGAGACTTATCTGCAGAGGGAGAAAACAAAAATTACAAGTAATGCTTATTGCTAAAAAGGGGGCCAACAATATTATTGTCTCCCCAAAGATGAACATTGCAACCACCTTTGGCTAAAAATTAGAAACAGGAGAGAAAGAATTACTGTTTCATCATCTCTGTTTGAGAAGAAAGAATATTTTCAGTCCTTTCCCTTCTCCCCTGATGGTTCTACTATATGTTATACATGAGTTATAATACAGTCTTTCAAAAATCAAATAAAAAATATAGAGATCAAATACCAAAATGTCAGCAGTACTTCACAAAAATGATCCTAAAGACTTCTGATTCTATGAAACCCATCATACTGAGAAAAACCTAATTAGCAGGATACTGCTCAGGCAAATAGAGGTACTATTTAGATTATTTGCAATGTAACTCGGAGCTTTGTTGTTCTACTAAATGAAATCATTTGTGCCACTGAATGTAGTATTTCAGGAGCTGACAAATCTACTTCCCACACTGACAAAGCCCCTAGGAAAGCTCAGTGGCACAACCACTTGAAGGATTTATTAGACATAAGAAAGCTGACAGACACATTTGAGAAATGGGTACAATACACAGCTCTCACCCGTCCTTTTCCAAAAAAAACTATTAATGAAACAGTAGCTGAACTGTTATTTTTTGTGCTTACTAAAAAGAACCACAATATACAGGAATAACCAGCAAATTGAAACATAAAGGGTTTAAACATCAGTAACAAAAAGGAGCTTATCTGAATACTGCATCATGCTGATAAATCTGCTGTCATGGCTCTACTCAAATGCCTTTTGTTTTGGCCCTTAAAAAAAAAAAAACAAAAAACAGCCCCTGAGAGCAATGGTCTTAACAAGTTTGGGGTATAAGAGATCAAAATGTGAGGTTGCCATTGCAACTTTGGCATCATTTTGCAAATTTGGTGGAGGGGGTCGTTATACCTGGATCATTTGAGAAAGTAATTAAATTATCAGCCATGAAGTACATTATCATGAAATCACATTTTAGAGAGAGGATGTCTAGGGGAAGATCAGAAAAATTGAACAGAACAAGTTTAACAGAAAAATGTGATACCAAGTGACAGAAATGCACTGTAATAATCACAACTCTTCATTTGTAGAATATTCACATTAGCACAACTTGTGTCTGCATGCATGCAATTCTTCCTCAGGATTAAGCACGGAAGAAGAATCATAAATGCCTGAAGTCTGCCCACAAAACCAAAACAACAAAACCCAATCTTTCAGTAGTTCAAGTGACATAAGCTCTTTGTTTTATTTATTTATTTTTTTAATCTGCTGTATCAGTTTTTAAAAAAAATTGGGCAGGGGGCAGGGGCATAAAATCTGATAAACCCTCATGCATCTGCCAATTTAGTTTTCTTAAATCAGTGAGCATACACATTAAATGCATTTTGCTTCTGCTCACCAACTATGGTTTGACTAAAAAGATACTAAAGATTTTATGATTTATACCCCTGTATGCTTTAATTCTGGCAGACAAAGATTTTACACAGGTAAATCACTACTGCAACACTACATTCTCCCCTGGAAACTGCAACAAAAATACTATTGAAAGAACAAAGAACACCACTGATCAAGTGATGAAAACTCAGCAGTCTACAGCAGTATCAAATATGTCCTGAAAAGACAGAGAAAAATGCAGCTCTTAATCATTACTTACCACAAGGGTAACTCAGAACCTGGATGTCATCAATGGCAATGTAGCCATTTCTCCCATCTGAGACTTCAGCTTCAAATATTACCTGTCAAAATGAAAGAAAAAATGTTTACAACACTCATTTCTACAGAATTCCCACAGTGGCAAGCATAGAGATCTAAGACACATTGCCTTTTTCATTTTGTTGAAGTTTCTACAAGGTTTGATGACTGAATGGAATATTTATTAGTGAAGGTATTGCAGTCTCATACCATTCATATACATGACTTGCTTTGGATTTGCTGTTTATGGCACACCAGAAAAGAACGTTCATTGCCTCAACTAACACCATGCTGCTCTCACTCCACTAAACACAGAAACATGTTTCAATTTTGAAAAAAAATATAATTATTTTCAGACAGGTTTGACATCGCAGCAAACAACTGATCAACGAATTTTAATAAAATGTATATTCAAGTCAAGGGTCACAGGATAGTCCACAGTCTCCTGTAACGTTCTGCAGCGAACCTGCACAGGAAAACATGCAGTGGCACAGAAATAGGGCAGCACTCCCCAGGGGCAATGGAAAGAACAGCTCTGGCATGAGATTTATGTAGTAGTCAACTTCATTCTTCATTCTTGCAAAGCAATGGGGAAACTGCTTTGCATGAAGGAAACAAAGAGACTGTCTTCACATTCAACATCTTGTCCCACCCCAAACGGTCAGCATAACAAAGAATTGCTCTTAGATTGCTCCAGAGCACAGAGCTGTCTGTAGCTATAGATTAGCAAAACAACACCAACTGACCAGAACAAATCTATTGTCAAGATTCATGCCTCCTTGTATGGATAAAAAAAGGGGGGGAAAAAAGCAAAATACAGTGAAAGAAAAATGAAAATAATTAGAAGGAAAAAAAAAAAGGATGAAACACGTATGTCTAAACTAAAAGGAAGATATGGAAGAGGAAAGCACACCAGAAAATATTGATACAAGTGATACAATACAAACTTCCAGATGTGATCACCCAATGCAAGTATCTGGCTGGGTCTTCTGTACAAGACAGGCTTAGACAAAGTCAGCTGCTCTACATACAACCTTTTCAAGTAATTTACATATGTCATTCTTGGGGAAAATATAAGGGAGCAGCAAAGACAATGGATTAACAACCTAATGTACCCTGCAGGTGACCAAGACAACACTATCCTCATCAAGCTCCTTTCTCAAGACTTCTTACTTGGGCATCTGCTTGTCACCTTACTAGGAAGCAATGACCATTGCACTCTCTTCAGTTCAAGGGGAGTCCTGAGAGCAAGCAGCTCCCAACCACCTTTGGAGCTCCTTTTGGACCTCTCAATCACAAAAACTACCTCCTTCGGCAAGGTACCTGGCATTTACACAACCTGGCTATGAAGGATCAGGAACACTTCCATGTGCTTATGTGCCACTCACTCCATTTCCTCACTCACACATCCTACCCAGAAGTGCAATTTATCTTCCCACCAAAGGAGGCAGAGATAGTAGGTGGCCTGTTTACTCACAACTAATTCCATAGCCTCACAGGAGTATAAATAAGGAAAGCTTCCAAGGAAAAGTGGTTATGGGCATGTTCATAAAGTGGTTCACAAGGTCCAACAGCTTGAGCTTTGGCTGCAGAACAAGGAAGCCTGTGGGTCACACATCCTTTGACAGCACCAGGCTCTTCCAATTTCTCTAAAAACTCTTGCTGAGGAATTAAGTAGTAGAAACGACTTCATTCCTTGCCTCCTTCTCCTGCCTTGGCCAAAAGCAGCTCAATGGAAAGGAATTTTGTTGTTTGGGGGTCCCACTTTCATTCCCTTGTCCAATAAGCTCTCTGTCCAGAGCACTATTTGACTTCCCACCAGCTCCTCAGGCATATTCAGAGAGCTGGCACTTCAAGAAACATCAACTTTAATATCTTCCATTCTGGTTTTGTGGTGTGGAAGACAATTCAGTAAGAAATAAAGATATTTTAAACCTTTCTGACAGACCTTTTTCTTTACAATACAGTACAGCTCTATCAAATACACAAACTGTGAAAGCACTTATTTTCTCAATGTCCAGATAAGAACTTTAAGCATCAGCGTTAAGAACTGGTCTAAATTTACATCCCAATCTGAACTGGGGTGTTATTAATTCATTTGGAAGTAGCTTAGATCCAGTTCCAAGGGAAGCCTGGCTTTACGTAAGTGTGTCTCCTTCCCCTATAATGGTGATACCTTCCTACACTGGGGACAGAAGGGAGAAAACGACCTTTCTTGGGACAGAGCTGGGTATGAATTTACTTGCACACACTAACCAACACAACAAAGCAAAAAACATGAAGAAATATAGAAATGCAAGACGCCTCAAAAACATTATAGGGAGTAATGTTTAAAGGCAAATAAAGGAAAAATAACATTATTGAAAAGACAGAGATATAAGAAAGGTGAGATTTCATATATAAAGTGCTAAATTATTTTTAATTAACATTCATAATTGGAATAAATACAACTATGAAACATTTGTAACTATAGACAACCCACAGCAAAAAGTGCAACTCGGTTAAAAAACTATTCTCAGGCTTTAATTTTATAGTATCTGTTCACATTTAAAAGGGGAAATGGAAAAAGGTAAGTGTATATATAGGTGAAAACTGAAATCTGAAATGCTGACAAGTCAGACCAAAACCTGAAGTAGTTCTTTTCCTCACATACACACACACTACTTGAGAAAAACCAGTCTGTTGAGCTATTGCTTTCACCAGAGGTTTATCCTAATAAGACAGCAGTGCTTTGAGAGAGAATCATGCAGCTAGCCTGAACTGCTGTTCAGCTTACAGTCTACAAAGAATGACTTAAACATTTCCTTTTTAACTGAAAAATAATTTAGCTTATCAGTTTACTCAGCCAGAAAACATTAGTTGCCTGTGCAACTATAAATGGCCTTCCACTTATTACAATCTAATTGCATGCTCATCTAGCACACTTCAGAGAGATGCTTGCTTCCTTTAGTGGAGACTGTTTTGGGGGATGAATGCAGTTTGCACAGAGCAGGGCTGTGGAGGCAGCTATCCTGTCTCTTGTGATCCAGGGCCCCTACAATAAGTGTGAATGGGTACTGCTGAACAGCTCAGTTAATTCAAAAGCTAATTCAAGGGAATTAGATTTGACCCCTGAATTTTCTACAGTTTCAAGGTGATACTAAAAGAGTTACTTCTCCAAATAAAATGGTATGTCCTTGCTTATGAAGTGTCTGCATTCAGATGCAAGAGAAGATACAGTGTCACAACTCCCTGAACATGTTCTTATGTATGCAGTCCCCCCTAATGCATCTCTTGTCTCTGTATTAGTCTATTTTCCTACGAAAACCATGCAAGTTTTTAGTGAACACAGTATCATTTGGGAAAATCCCTGGGTTTACTACTGTCAGTATTCACAAACATTTCCATTTGTTTCTTTTGTACCTGGTTTACCTTAATGACCCAAATGAGCGACAAACTGATCCAAATCATCCTCCTATATTACATACAACTTTGTAGACCTCTATTATACGTCCCCTAGTAATTTTGACTAAATTATCTGAGGCTTCTCAAACTTGAGACAATCTCACACAGAAATCATCCCCTTTTCTTTGCTTATCCTTCTCTGAAGCTCTTTCTAGCTGCTCGTAATCTTCAAAGAATATAGCAAGCAGAGCTGGCACACAGTAATCAAGATATGGGTGAGTCACCATTTATACCACAGCATAATATAATTATCTAATTTATACTGAACTTCCTTAACCATTCTTAACACTTCATTTGCTTTTTTGACCACCACTGGGCTCTAAGCTGACAGTTTTATGAACCCTGTAATCTTGCTGCAGAGTGCTAATGGCAAGCTCCAAGTCCATCATTCTGTGTGTGAAATTAGGATTTTATGCAGTGTGCATTATTTTATATCGTTTTATCTACTCTAAAATCCATCTGCTCTTTTGTTGCCCAACCACTCACAGTTGGTCCTTCAAAGTAGCTGTTCTCACTGTCCTCTAATCCCCAGTTAACATGTTGAAAGGCACAAATCTTCACAGGATGCCTTGGTGACTACATGTTGACAATTTATTCCTATCTTCTCTTTTTCCTCTTAAGCAATTACCTAGGTATAGAAATATCTTTCTTGCAGGATGTCAGCAAAGCTTCACTACAAGCTTCTGTAG